TTTGAATAAAGTCACGGAATTCACGTGAAAAGAGTGCAATAAGCTGAGAAAAAGTAAGAATAAAAATGTATAACTTTTTTATATCATCTTCTTTACCTCATTTTTCATTCGTTCTGACGGTTTGACGATCTTGGTAGTAGGTCATGCTACTTATGATATATCTACATTTTAGATTGAATCGGTACTAAAGGAAAACTCGCCGGATAATTCCTCTCGGTTTGCACTCAACTCCAGAAGTTCGACTCTGTCGAACATTTGAGATCAGGGGATATTTAATGTTAAATTTAAAATGAAAGAGGAAAATTTTACGAATTGAGGGAGGAAATATGTCTAGTGCTTGTCAATTTGTCAAGAGGATCGAGAGGTTTTCTCATGATTCAGAGAATAATTTCATTAAATATAGATGGAAATACCGAGGCAAAATTGGTTGTCTTGTAATGTTCATGATTTTTACTGGAATAGAATCATTTTAGGAGTGAAAATGAATATTCACATTTCATTTAAAAATTGATCTCGAAACTATTGAATTCAGTACAACTCGGGAGATAATTTTTCTAGATGTTCAGTCATCTTTGGGAGATGGAGGCGTCGAGCATTCGAGAGCAGAAATATTTTATATTAAATTTAAAATGAAAGAGGAAAATTTCATGAATTGGAGTATTTTTCGTGATTGGGAGAATAATTTTATGTCGAGGGCTTATCAATTTGGGAAGAGGATCGAGAGCATTTTCCGTGATTGAGAGAATAATCTCATCAAATATATATGAAAATACCGACGTAAAATGGGGCGCCTTACAAAGTTTATGATTTTTATATGAATGGAATAATTTTAGGAGTGAAAATAAATATTCACATTTTATTTAAAAATCGATCCATCTCGGGGCCATTGAATTCAGTGCCTAGAGCCCCTCGGAAATATCCAACTGCATCGAAATTCTCGGTTGGACGAGATGAAAGAGTATTCTTCTGTATCCCGTGAAAGGAATTGCCACTGGAAGGGGCTTTCAAGGGCCCTCTCAAAAAGCCAGAGTTTTCGCCGTGTTTATTTCATATAGATTTATTACATTTCAATTTCTAGAATGATGTCTGATGTATTGGTTGCACGGTGCGTTGCGACGTTGCTGCAGTATTATGTGCCATTGTATTTCGCCGTTTTTATTGAATTGACTCCAGCGAGAGAAACGAGAAAAGCTGGGGAAAACCTTTGGAGATCGGTTCTGATCAGTTCTGTACGTCACAGTCACATTTTCAACTCGAGGGAAACATGTCATCTCGATTTTTAAATCGAATTGGTGAGTCTGTCAGATTACTCCCAGAATGAGTTGATTTTTTTTCAGGTGGAATTGAGGAGAGGAAATAGCTTCAATTTTCATGGAGTAATTGAACTGAGTTTTCATTCATTTTTTTAACTCAAATCGAGAATTTTCTCTGACAATCACTGGAAATACTAGTGTAAGAAATTAAGACGTCTTAAAGTCAGTAATTTTTGCGGTGAAAACTCTTTAAAATTTTATGGCGACTGTCACGAAATTTAAGAAATAATTTGATTTATTCTAACCGAACGTTTGTGACGTGTAATTCATTTTTTGCGATTTAACATGGTAATTTTTAACGGACAAAACAGTTCAAAATGCACGAAGGAAAAAATAATTTTCAAAAGTGTTAAAAACGCTATATTTTTTAACCAATTTTTACTACTGAACGACGAGATTTTTTCCATCCAGCACGTCATAGTTTTTAATTTATTCTCAAAATTAACATGTTAGCGGATATGCTCCTGCATTATATTTCTCACACTGAGAATTTCCATGTTCCCACAGTAAAAAATAATAACAGAACCCTGGACTGAGCAAAAACAACTTAGTAAACCCGAAAAAAAAATGACATTCAATCATCACTCGAGTAATTCTCCTCCCCGAATTTAATTTTCACCATCAACCTCAACATTTCCCCATAAACCCCAACTACATTTCACATTTCCCTCGGAATGATATGGAAAATGGATGGAAATATGAGTAAAGAAGGGAGAAAGAGGGGCACTTGAATTTCTGAGGCGTTGTTACCTGCCCTCGTATACACCATTCTCGCATGTTTCACGTAACACACCGAATGGGAATTTAAACTGCGGCCAAGAGCGTGCAACGAACCACCTAACCGCAAACTCTATGGTTGACTCAAAGAGTCTATCCCCCCTCGAGCCTTCTCCCCCCTCCCCCCCCTCCACGCCGCCTACACTGGTTTTTAGTTGAGCCCCACCCTCCGCGTGTCCGTGTGTGTGGGATAATTTCAGTTGTGTTGATATAAACCACAGAAGTAAGCGAGTTATCGTATCTTTTTGATGAATATTGTGGCAAAGTGGCTGTTTGAATAATAATCCCTCAGATCAAGGGGTTCGGGGGTGGGGTGCTGTGTCATGGTTAGTGGGTGATTAAACTGGACCGTATAATGTCCATACAGAGCATTGAATGCCTGAATTTTCGGGGGAATTTGGAGTCGAGGGAAAAAGGGAAGATTTTTTTTTTTTAGATTACTAGACTTTTTGCGGATTTTTCTCCTCCAATGCATGATTTTTGCTTTCGAATGGAAGCTTTGTAATCGTTCAGATTTAGGTTTTAGATTTTCTATTAATTTTTAATTAATTAGAATTTAATTCATCGATTAGTTTTTTAATTTTTGAATTTTTTCGAAAATCGGTTGTCCCACGATAACTAAAAAAATGTTCTGAATTGATTGAATGAGGGCTTGAAAAATTTGTCTGGGTGTCCTTTTGACCGAGTTCGAAGATGAAGGCGATAGTAGTAATCGTTATTTTGATTAATTTGAAAATTTGCAAAAATGTTGTATTTTTTGAAAATCAGAATTCCGGGGTTATCTTTGAATATCATGCTTCAAATGAATTCAATCATAGCTTAAAATGTTTGTTTCAATGCCATTGAGTCGAAGTTAAAAGACGATTACGATAGCTATATTGGTTGATTTGATTTTTATGATGATTGTTGAAAATTTCGAATTTTTCATGAATTTCCCTGAAAGTGATTTTTCCGATGGTTTCTTCAAATGTGATGTTTCAGATTCATTCGAATATGTGTAAATAAAATTTTTCTATTAACATTTTATCAAAGGCCTGAGGGGAGAGATAGAACTGTAAAAAAGACAATCGGCTGTCCAGAAGAAAGGGATAATAAGAATAATAATGATGATAACCTTCAACCAAATTAAAAATCTGACAAAATTAATTGAAAAGAAATCATATTCAATTTAATAAAATGAATTATACACGATTGAAGGAAATTCGGAGGGACATTGGGATATTCTTCATAAAACAATTACTGTTTCCTGAAGAAAATAAATGAATAAAAATCTATTTCAATGCATTTTCGACTGAAATCAGCCGTTTACTTGAAATAATTCAGTTTCAACAGGGACTTAAACAGCGAAATCTTCTCCAAGTAATGAAAAACTACAGCAACCTATTGAATTTCCGTCCATCAATGCCGTCCCCAAAATTGAAACATCACCAGCTATAAGTCATTGAAAACCTCGTCCATCGGAAACCCATGTCCCTTCCCCCCAAGCATACAAATGTCAGAATGACGAAGTAATGACGAAACTTAATATTTCGTGCCACAGGCGCATAAATATCGCGAGAAATATATAGGCCGTTGAGTGGAATACCCGTAGAATCCATAATTCACTTTTTACTTGACGTCAATGTGACATTAAGAGACTTTCATCACGATTGAACTGTATGCTTCCACCCATTTTTTTTTCATTCTCCTTTCTATCTCAAACCTGCGGTAAGCGACATCTTTTTATTTATATTCAAACAATTTTTTCCTTCTGGTTACGCGCGATCTATCCACAATATTGCGTAAATGTCCGGAAATGGATTTACGGAATAGCGGGTAGGAAAATCCGATGAATTTGTCTACACATTGATTTCACCTGATCGACGAACTGGAAATTCACTGGATTTTGCGCTCCATGGGGGGAAGAGTGCAATCAGTATGAACGATCAAAAAGTAACCGCGAGTGAGTCATTGTGAGTGACATTTTCTTCGTGAAAAATATCATATTATGACGACATTTGTGATTTATGAATGGGAGAACATGCTCAATGATCTAATTGATATGTTAGAGCATTCAGGAGCGAAGGAAATAATTAAAATTCCGCAATTTACGTGAATTTTTAAGTGAAAATGAATATTTAGGGTCAAATTCCCTTGAATTTTCAGGGAATTCCTTTAAAATTCTTGAAATTCCAGGAATTTTTTTTATCGATTTTCCTGAGAATTCAAAGGAATCTTTAATTTAAGAACAGATTGCTCTGAATTTTGCTGATTTTTCCTCATCTTTCCCGGAATAATTCAACGAAAATTGAATGAAATTATGAATTTTCAATGAGAAAATTCCTTGAAATTTCAGTAAAAAATTTTCAACATTGCATTTTTGAAATAGGGCGCTGAAAAAAATCTATGACAGTCCGCAAACCTCTTTTATTCTCTGGGAAATCAATGGTGTTTCTTCAATTGTCCAAAACAGACTGAAATTGTATTGCCTCGACGAAGAATTGCTCCTGCGCTACATCGGAATTATTCGTCCTCATCCACTTCTAAATCTACAAATACAAAAAATTCTAATGCAGCACAGGAAAAGTCCTCCGCCGCCCCATTCTTCCTCCATTCTGCCGTCAAGTTCAAATCGGCTGAGACAAGACGAGTCATCCTCGACGGATACTTCCGAACGAAACTATTTTACTTTAAAATCCGTTGTAACACAAAAATGCATGAAACACAGACGAGCAGCTCAATGGCCCGATGGATGTTTCTGAATTTTTCAGAGACCACACTGCGAATAGGAAGCTGTACCCTAAATGATTCAAATTCACCCCTCAAAATGGAGCAGTGTGAACCGTTGAACGACAGATGCCATCTGTTTTATGCAATTGCAACATTCCCGTCAGCTTTGAATTCTTAAAATTTCCCGGATTAATCACTTACCTTGTAAGCTCCGAGCTCCTGAACGATGCATGACAGAATAGCTTCCCGTCCCACCGAGGCTGTGACATTATTGATGGGCTCCCTGAAATTTGGATCTGCAAGCAAAAAATGTAAACATCGAGTCAGAAAACATTCAGAAGTCACATCTCCAATTACAGCTACGAAAATAGGACAATTGGTGATTCATTTAGCCCCACAATTTTCGATGTTCAGTTATTCTAGAGCCGTACGTGTAGAACAAGCTCACCTGCCTAGTTTTCTCATTGAAAATTTCCCCAAGCTTTTCACTGGTCCACAGCCCCATTCCTCCTCAGCAAATTTAATTACCAAACATTCCCAGCATAATTCACAAACTTCCGGAGGGGTAGAAATTCCATCAACTCTTGTGCATATCTACAGTATACTTCATACGCATCTTTTCGAGTGCACACTCATTGCGACTGTGGAGGATAGGGAGTATGACTGCAAACTGGGTAATGAGATCAACTCGTAGAGTACAGAAGTTGCGGCACTCGTGTCTCCAAGTGTCATACGTCAGCAAACGACACTTCACGGGGAGGAGGGCATCTTAATCAAGAGGGGGGGGGGGAAGTGCCAACGAGAGGGTGAAGTACTCCAATTTTGATTACTAAAAGGAAAATCCAATATTTGAAGTCGTAGGCGAAAAATGCTCGGAACTAGATCTTCAATTTTGAAGCAAACTCTTCAACTTGTTGGGCAATAGCCATCGTGGGGCAGAACGGATTGGTTTTAGGTTGGCTCCTCGAAATGTTTCCTGGCCATCGATTGCCACAACATTTGTCTTTCTGCCTCAATTATTTCCCTCAATTTGGTCATCTTGTCGAAGTGAATTTTGAAGCGAAGTCTCCAATTTTCTGGCCAACACACATCGTGGGGCAGAATGGGTTGGCTCTAGGTAGGTACCTCGGTAATGTCCCTGGCTATCGATAGTTGCAGCATTTATTGCAATTGTTTATTAATTTGCATAATCCGGATATCTTGTCATGATTTAAAGATTCCGTGACAGTTGCAAATCCCAAATTTTTGCATTTTTTGGGCTAAGGATATGAAAATAGAGAAAGAATCTCTGAATGCTTCAATAAAGCAGAAAGATCGACCACATGCCCGGATATTCATTCCCTCAATTTCCGCTGATAAAGCAAATTAAACTCCAATAATACAATCCACTCAAACAGCACTGAAATTACGAAATAAAACATAAAAGATGATCCTACCAGCAACAAACCGGAATTGATACTCCAGCAGCGTTTAAAATAAATCAAATATCAATGACGAACTCCGGATGATCCTGTGCACACAGCGGAAACGATTCAACCGTAAATATTATTATAGAATTGATGCGATGAAGAGATATCGCATTACTGAGTGATTTTCAATGTTTGTGAATGATGGATTTCATGTGTGTCACAGCTCTTGGTGAATTCCATCAATAGCGAGACAGATTGAGAGATCTTTACTCCAGCCTCCCCTCGCATCGTCCATTAACAAAACGATAGCTGTCACTCGTATTTTATTACATCAGCCCCGAACCAGTGGCTGACGCTTTCCAATATAATGAATCAAAATGTGGAAAAATCATTCTTAAAATCCAACAAAACTCATTGTATCCTCACATTACCTCATAAAGGCTAGAGCACCAGCTCACTAGTGACTTTTTCGCCCCATCAGTTTGGTCGTCATCATTTGTAATCTATCCAAAACACGCGATATCCTATTCAAGGTGGGCCTACGAAAAGCTGGTAAACCAGTATGTGCCTCTGGGGGTTGTACAAAAGCTTCGCCGACTAGCACGAGAGTCATTTTGGTGGAGAGAAAAATGGTCGATGAGCGAGGGGGGGGGGGTGAAGGGACATGAGTAATCCAGAGGATTCTCAGAATCATTCATACCCAAGGGGAAATAGGTGGCCCCGTAACTTATCGTGTCGATGTTTGTTTGAGATATTGGTGATAACAATGGATATTCGAATACAATATATCACGAACATAATGAGAATTCTCATATTTCTACACGGAAATAGCACGAATATTGTATTGCTCCGAAGTAAGGGGTACTAGGACGATTGTTCTTTGCCCTTTTATAAAAAGTCAATATGGCCACCCATTTTGCCCCGTTGCGGGGAGGTCAAGAGGGGGAGAATTCACAGGCTCGAAGAATAAGATACAAATTTTGTTTTCACTGTACCTGTCCCCGGCAGAAATTACGATAACCCCCAACAGCTCCATTTCATTTTGATATTTTGACAGCTTTTATCGTTATGATAGGGATTTCCCAGGAGGATCCTCGGCGGGTTTATACTAGATGGATATGACAGAATTATAGTTCCCCTATGTTACCATTATGAAAGCATTTCACCCCACCTCGGTCTCGAAAGGCCAAATGTTACATGTGTGTGGGTGAGAGGTGGCCGGAGAGGGGGCACCAGTGGCAGTGCTAGTGTGGCCCTCTAACAAGCCTCATCAGGCAGCCGCAACGGGGATTCCTTCAGCGCTCTGAATACCACTATTTCATCGGTTCACTACTACCAACATTGATCTATCTCGTTTAACCTCTTTTGGGGATTCCCGCACTGTCGGGATGGCGAGAGTTCAAAGACACTGCATTATCCAATGATGAAAATTATCTTCATTCGCAATTTCCGTAATGTTACACTGAAATCAATATTTTTCTTTCTCATTGTCAAAATTTTTATTTTAAAAAATTTGGGATTTTCAAGTTGCCGCTTGGCTCCGGGTGAAAAAAAAAAAATTCATTTCGACATTTCTGGCGCCTCCGAGTGTTTCATCAGCATCAGAAACGTTAATCGATATAAAAATTGAGGAATGTAATCGAAACTAACTTTCATTTTTGAGGCCTTGCAGAGGCTCGAATAAGCCTTGAGGTACTGAGTCTCAATACTCAAAGCCTGGACTGGGCCTGAACCTCGGCAACGGCCCCTTGAATCGCCCTCATTTCAGGCTCGAGTGAACGATGAAATCAAGCCCGTCCCAGGCCTGAGTCACTGTTTCCATCGCCAGTCTATATAATTCCTACCTAGGGAGAATATTTCCCTATTCCTCCGTGTCCTCAATTTCAGAAAAAATAATCACGATTTTCATCGATACTTGGCACTTATGAAACCCGTATGAATTCAAATGCAGTTTTATATTCACTGGAAATAAAGTTGCCGCCCCTCGAAATAATAAAAAAAAAAATGAAATGCAAACTGAAAGTGAATAAATTTCTCCATGAAAGAGTTTACGATCTTTTGGTTGAGGGCTCACTCGTGTGTAACTATTTCAACGCCACTGTTGTGCCACCGATATGACCGACGCAGCTACGAAATATGCAGGCTCCCCTATCATCCCCCCATCGCCCATCGAACCATCAATCTTTGCGCCTATAAATTCGTCATAGCACGGCATATTCTCGCATAAAATAAATAATGCATCCGGAACGAGTGGTTGTTGAGTCTGTCGGTGTAATAAAATTGTGCGTATATAGATTGTGTGGATATTCACCGGGGGCACGCAAATATGTCATACAATAGCTGTCATCGACACGTGGAACGAAATAACGTAATTTCGTCAATTTTACAATTTTTATTTTATTTTATTTTATACTCAATTGGGGGATGGGTATTTCAATTCGAAGATGATTCTTTTGTATCAGGCCGGGTTTGATCTTAATATTCTGACTCTCTTTTTTTATTTAAACCTGACATTCTGACCCTCATTCCTTCCTAATATTCCGACCCTTATTTTTTAACCTCCACTTTTTGACTCTTATATTACACTTGAGAGCGCTTGGTACAGCCCGGGCTGTACAAATAATCGTCCTCGAATTGAAACCCCCAACGCCCAAATCTCAACCAATAGTCATGTCCGCAAATAAGTTGATGTTTACATCAAGAAGGAAACCAAATTACCCCATTATCACCGATGCTCCATCAGTGAAAAGAGATAAACCTCAAAGCGAGAGGAAAAAAATCGTAAAACTCATCCCGCGCTGGCCAGGTCGTACGCGACGATGACACAGTAAGACGAGAGGAGGCCAGTCTGATACGAGAAGGGTAATATAAGTTGCAATAGCCATCCGGACGTCTGGTACTCATTCAAGCACGTAAAGTAATAAAACGTGCGCCAGCCCTGGAGCTGTAAGGCATTCACTCTATATAAAGTCACTTGCAGTTTGGATATACCCCGTGTGTGTGTGTGTGTGTGTGTGTGTGTGTGTATGCGGTGATGAAAGAAGAGGGGATGATTCCACCAGAGGGATGGAACAGTGAAATGGTGGATAACATGGGGGTGGAGGGGGGACGATGAGAGTGTCGCGGAAGACAATATGCTCGAGAAGTGCAAAAAAGGGGAAATAAGTGTCACACGGAGGGTAGCTGAGTACGCTTTTGAGGGTAAAAGTTACTTACATTTGAAGTGAAGTGGGTACTGGTAATGCAATCGGCGATAAGATCTCTAGCCCGAGTTATTTCAGATTTTACGTTTCTCTCGTGCGAGTGTGAATTATTGAGAAATGGGTTCTGATGGTCAGTATTTCGGTGAAAATTATTTGCAGTCACGTGGGTGGGGGGAGTATTAGTGATTTATGGAGGGACTTGGAGCGAAAAAGGGAGTTTAGGGAGAAGTTTAAATACCAGGATTTCACGAGGGGCTAATCACTCGAGGATTTCGTAACATCATGATTTTTAAATTGCGAAAACTCTGGAGGAGATGAAATAATTCTGGTGATTCCATGAATTCGACTATTGTTTGGGTTTTCAATTGAAGGCCCAAGTTGAAGACCCGAGTTTGTAGCAAAGATGTCAGACAAGATATGAATGTTTTTTTGAGCTCAAACGAAAGAGCGGGTCGAGAAATGGCG